AACATGGGACTGCCCTGCAGCTGAGGAAGGCAGCTGAGGAACCAGCCCTGGCCTGGCTGATCATGCTGGTTGGCCTTTGCATGGCTTGGTCTTGCACATAGCTGGAGTGATAAGGGCCAGATTCAGGATGGATTCTGTAGGTCACCCTCCCTCCTGAGGCCAAGTCTGCACAGCCTTGGCGCGAGGGGTTCCGGGGGAAGAAGCCCTTAGTGGTACCTGGCTTGTCCTGCTCTGGGGCACTGAGAGGGACGGGAGATAGGTGTGGGAGGCGGCGCCTGTCCTGCCTGTCCTGGAGCCTGAACCCTCTAGAGTTTGCCGAGCACCTGTACATTTCAGCCTTACCACCAAAATGAGGGGGTTACCTCTGTGTTATACAGGTGAGGAGGTCCAAGCTCCCTGTCAGGAGAATTAGGAGGAGTTTATGGCGTCAGGGAATACAGCTACAGACCCTTAGGAAGAAGGAATGTGTTTTTGCTTATGAAATGATGCCTGTGGCCCACACAGTGAGACTCAGCTGAGATTTTCGTGGTCAGGCTGTGGTCAACATTTTCCCTCTTTTAAATTTTCTCTTGACAGAATATTGTTTGTGTAATTTAAAAAGAAGTAAAGCATTCCCATTCCATGGGATTAAGACAGAAGTAATTAAATTACTGAAACTATTTGCAAAAGCAGTCTGTTACTACATTGAAGCAGCACCCAGCTCTGACCATGAGGCAACCACATAGTTTAGGCAGGTCTACAGCTGGGTTAAAAGAAATGGATCATTTCTGTCCATCTCTGTGTTGGGGTATTTTTGATTGGAGGAGAGTGCTAGGCATGGTGGGGGTTTTGTTTTGTTTTGTTTTGTTTTGTTTTGTTTTGTTTATAACTTCTGAGATGTCTTAATACATTTCTCAACATTCTTTTCTTTACAGCGTAGATCATTCCCAGCATTCTGGCAGCCTCATCATTGACAAAGAATCTGAAGTTTACAAGATGCTTCAGGAGAAACAGGAGTTAAATGAGCCCCCCAAACAGTCCACATCCTTCCTGGTTTTGCAGGAAATCCTGGAGTCAGAGGAGAAAGGTAATCATCCCTACCTTCAGCCAGAGGTTCTAGGTCAGGGTCTGCTGTGAGTGTGAGTGGTTGCGTAAGTGCAGGTGATTATGGACAGGTAGGTGGAGGGAGAACAGGGTGTTTTGCAAGGAGGAGTTTGTATTTTTCTTGAGGCAGGGTCTCACTGAGTTGCCTAGCTGGAACGATAGAGATGTGCCATGCTTTTCTCCCTCCTGGTACTAGGGGTGAAAACCAGGCCTCGTGCGTGCTAGGCAGGTACTGTGCTGCTGAGTTATACCCCCAGCCCTCATATGGACTTTCTGAATTCTAAAAACTGTTGCTGGGTTAGCGGAGAGTTTGAGGCCCTTCTTTACCATTCCTTTGACTCAGTCCTTATTTTAACAAGCTCCATGGGCTCAGCAAGCCCACGAAGGCAGCGCCTGCTCTCCCTTTGGGGTCATGAGTTCTCACTCTAGGGAAGGTAGACTCTTCAGGGCCTGAGCGCTACCGTGTGCCTGTGTCCTTAGGCTGGTTTCTAAAGCGTTCTGAGATCCGTGTCATTAATGGTGAGAACCACTCATTATGACGACTGACGCGGAGCAGGTACTTCATAACCAATTCTGCTGAAACTTTATCAGGAGGCTCAGCGCATAAGTGAGCTCTGACTTTCTTCTTTCCCAGTTATGCACCCTCGCATGGAAACCTGGTGCTCTTGGGAAGATGCCTGGCAATTCGGTTGGGCCGGGGGCCGCAGGCAGTGTGCAGCTGGCTCTGGCAGTCAGCGAGGTCAGAGCCAGAGCCCATGCCTTGCACAGGCGCTTGTTCCGCCACCACTCTGCCGGAGACGTGGCTTTGTGGGGTCCGTCACAGCTTAGCACACCTGGCACTGGCCCTTCCTCCCTCAGGCTGTGGGTGCTTCAGAGAGTGGCAGTTTACTCTCGCAGGAAGTTAGAAAAATGGTGAAGATACTGTGCTAAAATATATTAAAAAAAAATTTTATGCTAGAAGATGCTGTGCTAAAATATATTAAATTTTAAAT